CTCCCCATGAGATACCATCCTTCCCTCTGATGTCCCGACTGCTAACTCCTCTCCTTAGTCCACGCTGACACATCCTTCCCAGCTGTCCAGCTGCCTTCGGAGTCTCTGTGCCTGCGCATGGCCCACACACAAGTCAATTGACTTTTGTGCTAATCTGTCTGATGATACCATGATTTTGTCGACCCAGGAGGGGTCAGACTGGCTGGATGGACCCAGGCCCTGGCTGATTAAGAATCAATCTGAACTTGAACATCCTTCCTCTCTTCAGAAGGGAGCCTAGCAGGGAGCCTGCCAACTCCAGAAATCAAAAGCTCTGCAATGCAATTCCTTTCAACACTAAGAATCAAACTCCTTGCGACTGACCAAAGCCCCACCTCTGAGAGAGGACGTGGGCGCGCCCTGGACTAGCTCACATGCAAAAGACCACAGGTTGCCGATGACGGGCAAGCTCAGCTTGCGCAATGCTAACCGGTGTGCGAAGTCCTGCTCACAGCCCGCCCGGAGCCTGCAGGAGGCAAGAGCCCAGCAGAGAGCAGCAGCCATGCCCACCCTGGCTTCCTGCCCAGGCAGCCGCCCACCAGGTCCCCCACAGCTTGGCCGCTCACCCCTTGGCTCAATCGCTGACCGTGGGCACCTCACGGGCACTGCTGTCTGCATGGGGACACCTCTCCATCCCTGCCTAGAGGCCCTCAAGAGCCAAAACCGACAAGGTTCCCACCTTGTCTGATAACAAAGTTGGGTGGAGGCTGCTCCCCCGCAACAAGCCAGGGCTGAGAGATGCTGCACGGGCCTGGAAGTGGGTGCAGGGGTGTGCTGATGGCCTCTCTGCCACATTACGAATCAGAACCCCAGGAAGACTGAGGGGGCCCAGGACGCGCCAACCCAAACCTGGTGCCCAGGCCTGGCGCACGCTGCAAGCTGAGGAGTTGGGGAAGAGGCAGGAGGAAGGTCCCCCCCATGCAGCGCATGGGACCCCACAGCCTCCCAAGGGAATGGAGCCTCCCAGCCCCACAGACGGGGCACAGAGAACAGGGGCCATGCAGGCCCAGCCAGCCCCAAGCTGGCCGCATGAGCCTCGCTCCTGGGCCTGCCCTGTCCCCACATGGCGCGCTGGCCACCGCGCCCAGCATGCAGGGCTATGAGGGAGATAGGCAGTGTGGCTGCCGGATGCCCTGGCCCAGACCCACCATCACTACCACCATCTAGGACCCAGCCGCAGCTGCAGTATCGCCCCGGGTCACCCACAGACATCAGTCGAAAGCATCTTCCTGAGGCTTTAGCTCCCACATTCTTGCCTTTCTCACGTACAAATTACCTACCAGAGAACATAAGCTGCCCGTGCCGCCTCGTGGGGATGCCAACATGCCCTGGAAGATGACAGAAAACCGGCCTATTCCCACCCCACGCCTGTTCCCTCACGCCCTCCTCTCTTGAGACCCGCCGCCTCACCCTGATGTATGTCATGCCCCTGCCCCCCGCCCTGGGAGCTGGAGAAGCCGCTGCCCGACCCCTTTCCACCAGTCTTGCCTTCCAAGGTAATCAGTTTGATTCCAAGACTAGACATCCTCGCCCTGCACAGTGCTGCACAGCGTTCTGTCAGCACCAGTGCTGTACCCAGGCCTCGCTGTGCCCTGGGTCCCGTCCTTTCTGGAAGGTGGGCATGCCTCGCAGAGCATATTAAACACAAGTCCTTACTTTCCTCCCCGGTTCGATTGCAGCCTGAGGCGCCAAGAGGGGCAGGGGAATGACCCTCCTTTTAAAGGCCGAGTCCCAGTAGGTCCTCAGGCCCCAGGACAGAGGAGAAAGGAAGGATTGCTCTGCCTGGGAAGTTGGTGGTCGTTTTCCCTTTTTTAGCCATAAAAATGTTTCCTCCTCTGTTAAAAAAAAAACAAACAAACAAGCAAACAAACAAACAAACAAACAACACAACACAAAGTTCATCTAAATAAAACATTGGCGATCTTACCGGCTTTTTTGAAGAACTCATGAGCAGTCCGAGCAGTGGACCGGGGGAGCTCGGGGGCTGCAGGGCAGGAGAGGCGGCCCCAGCAGTGGGGTTAGAGGCTGCCATACAGGATTGGTGCCTCAAAACTGTTCAGCTACACCTTTCCCTAGCAAATGGGGCTTTGCTCACATGCTGACGGGAACCGGGTTAATCATCTTTTCAACAGGTGGGGGATTTGTGTGAGGCTGAAGCTGTGGTTGGTTCAGAAACAGTATTTTTAGGACATCATTGTTTATTTTGAATCTTTTTTTTTTAAATCCAAGAACACGCATGACCACAGAGGATGAGACACAGACTGCCCTTGTGCATCACTCAGGCCTTCCAGACGGTCAGCCTCTCACGCACCAGGGACGCGGGCTGCTCGAGGGTCTCAGGACAGGCAGAATGACTTCCCGCGCCTGCTGGGCAATCTCTTAGCAACCCCAAGCCCGACAGCATCTATGTTTATTGAAGGGGGAACAGTGAAATTGTTCTTAGTTGAAGTAAATAACGAGCAGGAATAAACTAAGACGGCAGGCTGATAGAAAGAAATGTCTTTGACAGGAATAACTCCTACAAATACTTCCATTATTTTAGTTCTACATTTAGTTCTATATCCAGAGTTTCTCCTTAAATGATCTTTACTCCAGAAAATTCCCACAGGGCTAGGATCTTCCAGTTAACAAGCCATGGGGGTTGTTTGTTAAAAATACAAGCAGGTATAAAGGCAACAGAATATCAGACTACATTATAAGCCCCATACGTGGCAACCCGGGGTGTGACTGCAGACAGCACCACAGGTATCCCAGAGAGGCTGTGGGCCCATCACACTGGGAACTTGGTACCTGACTGACCAGACTGTTCCGAGACGACTTACTCTTTAGTAAGCACCCACTGTGAAACCGCCTCTCACACAGTTTAGCCTTATGTTGGCTAAACTTGGGGTTTTAATTTAAATGCAAAGGGCAAAAAACAACCATTGAAAAGGAGAAATATAAAACAAATGATGTGGCGTGATAAGATTTCCCATACTCGGTCTGCAGAGTGAGGGTCTCAGCAGCTCCCAGCCATGCAACATGACAGCCGGATATGGCAGGTGGACCAACCGGCAGCTTTTCACTCACTGCTGACCTAAGAGATCCCTCAGATAGATACGGAAATGTGAGAGCCAGGACTAATGTGTGTCTGTTGTAATGAAAAACCTCTCAAACAAGAACGCTGAGATAGCAGACAGCGAGAAAGGACTTGAGTGTTAGTTGTAATGATATAAATCAGTATTTGTTGCAAAATTAACAATTTCTACTTTTAGTCTACTAATATAAATGTAGATAATTTATCAATTTCATAAAGAAAAATATCAAGAAAATCATTGGCTTGAACCTACTATTTTGCCTTTGAAAAGTTATCAAGAAAAAATATTTCCTAGAAAAGGGAATGCTATTTTTTACAATATATGGATGCTAATTATAATTAACTAGTTATAACTAATATCTGTTCATTATGTTAGCAAAAGATATAATATTTGTGATTCTAACAACCAGTTAGAAGTATATTAAGTTTAAAATAAAATAAAAGAAAAAGTCAAAATCACAACAATCTAAAGGAAGAGGTCAGGCCCTGCTGCCGCTAAGTCCCCTGCTGGGTCGGCATCTGGGGCCAGCCGGCCGGACACTCACTGTGGCTGTGGGACAGGACACTGGGTGTGCCTGTCTGCCAAAGGCCAGGAAGGCCAGGCTGTGAGGAAACATCACGGCAAGGCTTCCCCATCGCTGTGTCCTCCTGAAGTGGAGTCCAGGTGTACGCAGGAGAGGCTACAGGGTCACAGTGAAGGTGACAGCGAGCCACACCTAGGGAACCATGGTGGTCTGTGCACACTCTGGTGACTGCTGTTTGAGCAATGTTCTGGTTTGAGGACATTGGCTACCTGGAGAGGTGAGAAGGGTGGGCCAAGATGGCAGCCTAGTGGCAGGTGATCCTGTCACTCGCCTATTTCTGAACATGCTTCCTCCTGTTCTTGCGCCACACTCACTGCATGTCTCATTTGTCCAGTGTGGCTGCACTGTAGGGTGCCCCCTCCAGGGAGTCACTAAAGGTTTAATTCATGCAATTAATAAGCCACAAGCTGTTTGTTAGTAATTTAAGCAAGGACAAGCAATGCCAAGTAGATCAGGATATATTATAATTTACCAAAAATGGACTAAAGCTCATTAGGCAAACACTATCAAAGCTATAATATTGTGCTTCCCGCAGTTAGTAAAGCAAACCCAAAGTACAATGTCACTTCTAACATGAACCAGCAAGTGCGGGAGGGAAAGCCTGTCGTGGACCACAGAAGAATAATATTTTCAATCCTAGGTATTTACCCAAAGGACACAGAAACATCAATTTCAAAGAACACTTGCACCCCTATGTTTATAGCAGTACCCCTATGTTTATAGCAGCACTGTTTACAATAGCTAAGCTTTGGAAACAACACAAATACCCAAAAATAGATGGCTGGATCAAAATGTGGTACATATACACCATGGAATATTACTCAGCATTCAAAAAAGACAAACACATGGAATTTGCAGCAATATGGATAGCGCTGGAAGGGATCATTCTTAGCAAAATAAGCCAGAAAGAAACAGAAAAATACCAGATGGTCTCACTCATAGCAGAAATCTAGAAAACTTAAATAAGGGACCAGGAAAATGAATAACTATAAGAAAGTGAAAATCAAAATCAACAAACAACTGTGAACCAGAGACAATGCATGTGGGGTGGAGTGTGGGGAGGGGAGGGATTGGGGTCAAAATAAGGGGGTTGCTATTGTATGGGGAATATAAAATATAAATATATATATATATATATATATATGAATAAAATACTCAAAGTTGAACATGTTGCCTTAAGAACTGGAAAGCTTATGTTTCAAGCGGGTGTTGGGTTAGAAATGCTCCCTAATGTCGACAGAAGACTGACCAGGGAGAACTAGCACAAAGTCAGACACTGTCCGGATCACGGACCTTCCTGTCTAGTAATGAGCCGCCAAGTCTCCAGTGGGTGCTTTTGGCAGGTGCACCTGCGTCCTCTGGGCACCCGTGGAGCCCTGCGGGTGCAGGACAGAAGGCAGGTTGTAGGCTCTCAGGCTGGACACCCCAGAGCTGTGCCCACTGCGTGGCCACCTCTGTCCCCGCAGGCCTGGCCCCAAGGCTCCCAGCTGGAAGGCCCTATATCTTCCCAGGACTTTGCCGAGGGCTCCCGCCACGTCCTTGTTGTGCAGGCTGTAGATGAGCTGGTTGAGCGTGGGCGTGAGGATGGTGTAAAACACAGAGACCACCTCGTCCTGCTCGGCCAATTGGTAGGCTTTGGGGAGGAAGTACTTGAAGATAGCTGTCCCGTAGAAGAGAGACACCACAATCATGTGGGAAGAACAGGTCGCCAAAGCCTTCCTCATCCCCAGCTTGGACCCTAAGCCCAAAACTGTGGAGAGGATCTGCCCATACGAGGCCATGATGGCGGAGATCAGAAGGAGGAGAAACACCACCCTGCTGACATAAAGACCCTTCTCATAACGAGAGGGGTCGGCACAGACCAGTTTCAGGAGCGCTGGGATCTCACAGAAGAAATGATGGATCTCCCTGGAGGCGCAGTAAGGGAGAGTCAGAGTGTAGGCCACGTGGACGGAGGCGTTGAGCAGGGCGCTCAGCCAGGTGCCGGTCACCAGGAGGGCACAGACGGCCGGGCACATGAGGACCGAGTAGCGGAGCGGGTGGCAGATGGCCACGTAGCGGTCGTAGGCCATGACGGCCAGCAGCAGGCACTCTGCCCCCACGAGAGTCATGAACAGGAAGAGCTGAACCCCACAGCCGGCGTAGGAAATGCTGTTTCTCCCAGACAGAAAGGCACAGGCTATCTTGGGGACAAACGTGGAGCTGTACAAGAGGTCCATGAGGGAGAGCTGGCAGAGCAGGAGATACATGGGTGTGTGCAGACGCGAGTCCAACCAGATGAGAATCATCATCATGACGTTGCCGATGAGGATTACGAGAAACATCAGGCAGATGAGAGCAAAGAGAGCCCGGGGTGCACGGATGTGGTGGAACAGCCCCAAGAGCACAAAGTCAGTGCCAGTGGACCGGTTACCCCAGCTTTCCATCTCCCCTGCCCAGGTGGCCAGCCAGTCACAGGTGCCCTGCAGCCCTTGCCCGTCTAGCCCGACACCTCCCTCCCCCTGCCGCGTGCTGCTGTCATGTCCTCCTTTCAGCCCATCGGGGCAGGGCACCGCACCCCCGTCCTCCGGTACCCCTCCCCTCTGCCAGCAGTCACTGCCGACACGTCAAGACTTGAGGTGCTTCATGAGAACCATGGAATCACCGATGGCCTCTGGTGTGGGCCAGCTGAGAAAGCCCAGAGTGGGTATTTGGTCCCATGAGCCCAGAAGAGCAAGTCAGCGTGAGGGATGGCAGGCATGGCCCACACGGCTGCCTCTGTGTCGCCGGGACATGCTAGCTCACCTTCTGTTCTGTCAACAATTCTCACAAATAACATTTCATTATAATAGTCCATCGCTGGGTGAAAATCTGTTTTTAATCTCTCCGTGCATTCTATGTCCTAAGAACTTTTAAAAAACACATTTAGAGACGTGACTGGCAATTCTCCAAGGGGCCCAGGTGGTTTTTAACTTGAAAGAGTCGACTCGCTCAACTGAAATACCTAGGGGGCCCCGACGCCCACATGGGCAGCCGCTGGCCTGTCTGTGTGGCCAAGGGTGACAGGCCCGTCACTGCCCCAAGGCCTGGAATAAAGTTTCCATTTCCTCTGAGTAGCTCTTTCCGATGTAAGTATCTCAGGTGGTGACACAACAGCCTCTCTAAGGCCAAATTTCTTCCACTTACAGATTTTTAAAATGATTTCTAATCTGAATCCTCAGACACACAGAAAGAAGTAAATATGTGGATAAAATCCACCCTCTGCAGTAAAAGCCATTCTCTGCCTGCCCCTCCAGTGGGTGTGCCCCGTGCCCTTCTTGGAGATGGTCTTGCTGGGCCCTGGCCTGCGGTGAGGGTGCCGTGGCCCACAGGCCTGTGACAAGCACAGTGAAGATGCTGCTCGCCTGACACTGTCACACTGAGCCAGGATCCAGCACCTCCGGCCCGCCCTGGCGGTTAGAAGGCAAAGCTAATGCAGCTGATGGGAAGAGGCCCTCGCCAGGCTGTTGGTCAGGGGCATGTTTGGCTGAAGAGACCCAGGGTTTTCCCGAAATGCTGCAACAAGCCTTATGTCCCTTCTGCCCCTCCGGCCCTCTGTCCCTCTGTCCCTCTGTCCCTCTGCCCCTCTGCCCCTCCTCCCTTTGTGGGTGGGGGGCGGGGGCGGGGAGGGGGGTGCTAAATAGCCCAGGGAGCTCAGGCTCCACGCAGCGTCCTCAAGGAAAAGGCGCCTGCTCGTCCCCATGCTCGTCCCTCTGCTGAGTTAGACTGGGGGTGCTCCCCACGCCCTGCCCCCCCCAGTAAGCGGTGGGAAGAGCCCCTGCACTGGCGGCGGCCCGCAGAGCCCTGGGGAGGGCTGCGGTGTCCGTGGGGGACGCATCCCTTGGAAACAAGCCAACAAAAATCATTGCTCCTCAGACCCTGCGCCTGCACCCTGAGGACCCAGATGGCTGCGCCCAAGCCCGGAGAGAACCTCAGCCAGGCCAGCACAGCTGGTGCCAGGGGCGGGGCTGGCGCTCCCTGACCACTGGCGAGGGCTGGACCTGTGCTCCCTGACCACCTGCGGGCCTGGATCTGTGCTCCCGGACTCCCTGCGGGGCCTGGACTGGCGCTCCCTGACCGCCGGTGGGGGTGGACCGGCGCTCCCTGACAGCTCGTGGGGGCCTGTGCGTGAGTCGGGCATGAAGGGAGGCACGTGCGGTCTGGGGTGTGAAATTCGTTGATTGCCACAAATTTCATGAGGCGGCGGCATAGGCGCTGGGGTGCCGGACGCGTCGCCCTGTGGACTGGGCCGGCAGGAGCTGGCGGACTGAGCGAGGGTGTGCGGCTCTGCTGCCCATAGACAGTGCGGGGCTCGCAGGGGGCGGCACCATCCTCGGTGCCCTCTCTGCCCCCTCCCCGCCCCACCAGGGCCTGTGCCCCCACCCCAGGGCCCGGTCTTTGAAATGGACGCGGATGCCGCCCTGGGCCTCCCTGCTCCCCGGGTAGCCCCGGCTTTCCTCGCTCCTCCCGCGCAGTCGGGGCACGCCTGCCAGGCTGGGTGCGCTGGGGGCCGCCGGGCGAGACTAAGGGGCCACGCTCCGGCCCCGCTCAGCGAGGACCCCTGAGTCGGGTGTGGTCCACCCCCAGACGCCCACCAGCTTCGGGGTCACGAGCAACAGGGGCTGCTGGCCAGGCGCGCCAGAGGCCGCTCCCCGAGAAGCCCCGACCCCGCGGCCAGGGCCGCGCCCAACGCCCGTGTCCCCACGACCAGGCGGCCCCCGCGACAGCACCCGGGCAGGGACCGGGGCCCACCCAGCCGAAGCGGGGCCCACCCAGCCACTTTTGTTCCATTCACCCCGCGCCGCCTCGGCTCCTCAGGCTTCAAAATATATTTAATAGAAAAAATTACTTAATTTAAAGAGCGCGTGTGGGTACTCTCGGAGAACTGGAGATCTCAGCTCTTTGTTGTCAGCGAAAACCACGGGCTGCAGGAGCAGCTTTCCGGGTGCGGCCGCCCCCTGGGCACCCGCGGGGCCCGCGGGGTGCTGGGTCAGCTGCTGCAGAGGGGCCCCGGGGCTCAGCCAGCGCAGCGGGCGGGATCGGGGGACAGACGGGGCTAAGGGGGGCTGTTCTCTGACCACCGAGGTGTGACTTGGAACCCGCTTTTGAGGCGCCTCAAGGAGACACGTGGGCTGGCGAGAGGCTCAGGCCCGGGGTCACTGGTCCCTGAGCCGAGGCCGCCCCGCCCCAACCCCACCCGCACCTGTGCTGTGTCCTCAGAGCTGGGGAGCTCATGCTCCAGCCTCAGCGGCAGCCACGGGGACACTTGGCCTCTGCCTCCGCATGGTGGAGGGGGGGAAGGGGAGGGAGGAGGGGGCAGGGGGAAGGGGAGGGAGGAGGAGGCAGGGGGAGGGGGAGGGAGGAGGAGCGGGGGGGGGGAGGAGGAGGGGGTCAGGTGTGAGGGGGAGCGGACACGGGGGCAGGAGCTCGGGAGCCTAGTCCCCAGGCACATGCGGGAGACACGGAGGCCAGGGGCCCGCGCCACAGGAGCAGCTGCAGGACGCGCAGCCGGGGCGGCACCCACGCCACGGGGACACGCCGCCAGGAGAGGCCGCGCGGGCGGGAGTGGCCCCTGTGCTCTGCGGACAGCGCGGCACACACAAGGACGCGGGGGGTGGGGGGGACGCGCCTGACAGGGCAGGAGGACGTGGGCGGGCGGGCGGGCAGGGGCCGCGGGTGCGGGGGGCGAGTGGCAGCGCAGGCCGCGCCCCGGGAGCATCCGGGGTGCCCGCGCCGTCTAGGACAAAGAAACCCTCTGCAGCCGCAACTTACATGAAGCCTCAGGAAGGCCATAGGCAGCAGAGCCCCGCCTGCGTGCCCCCCGCATCCCTGCCAGGCGAGCCCCTCGCGTGCGCCCCCACGCAGCGCGCCCCGGGAGCGCCCGGGAAGGAGGAGGCTGTGAGGAGCCGGCTGGGGAAAGAAAGCGCTGGTCCCTCAGCAGGGAAGGCCAGGCGCCCCTCAGGGCTGTGGAGGCCTGGTCCACGCAGGCTCCGCCCTCGCGCTGGCTCCGCCCAGAGATCCTGAGGGAAGGGGCACCTGGCCTCCTCTGAGCCCAGTGGGGCGCCCTCCGCACAGCCGCGCTGCAGCCGGGATGCGAGGACTGACACCCCCGGACATGGGGCGATGGGACGATACACACGAGACAACAGTCTGTTCACTGTCACAGCTCAGGAAATAAACAGGAGCACGCTGGGCAGGAGGAGAAACGACTGTGCAACCAGAACGAGGAGCTCATGGACTGGCAGGAGCCCTGCGGACACGGGACGGCAGCCCCTGCTCGTGGGCTGGAAGAAGGAACATCCCCAACACACCGCATTGCTGAGAGAAACAGAGTCGTCGTGACCCCTGCCGAGAGTCCAGCAGCGACCTTCCAGGAGCAAACCTGGGAGCGCGGCACACCGATCCGCGAAAGACCTGCTGGCCAGAGCCACCCCGCAGACAGAAGAGGCATCACTGCCCAGCTCCCGGGACACCAAAGATGGCCCAGCAGCGGCTGGCAATGGGGTAGAAAAGGACACACGGATGGGGAAGCAGATTTCAGGGCCCAGAGATATTCCCGCAGTGTGGACAGCTGGGCCACAGCGTCAGAGTCAAGAGCAGGTAGGGAGGAAAGTTTCTTCCATCATCAGGCTGGGGACCGTCAAGCCACATGCAGGAGAAGGACAGGACACTGACCATCCCCACATCACACACAAACTTGGCTCTGGACGGACAAAACGCGTGGCTGGAAGGTCTGAAGCCATAAAATGTGTAAAGAAAACACAGGCAAACACACTATGCCTCTGATTTGGGAATGTTTGGGGACTCCGCTGCAACCACAAGGAAAACAAAAGCTAGAAAATGCAAACAGCGCTGTATGCAAGGCTGCACAACAAAAGAAGCTTCCGTTGAAACAAAGGGATGGCCACAGAGTGGGAGGAAGGTGCTTCACATCACTCATCTGAAAGCCAAGCTCTCTACAAAGACTGATACAACCCAATAAAAAGAGAGCAAACAGCCTAATTAAAAAGTGGACATGAGATCTAAGTAGATACTTTTCTTGACATGCAGATGCCAATGTGCACACGAAACCGTCCACCCTGTGTCCCATCAGGCACACGCAGACACCACTGGGAGTGCCCACCTCACACCTGGGCGAATGCCCAGATCACTAGGGCCAGAGACAAAATGTTGTTGGCAAGAATGTGGACAAAAAAGGAACCCTCTCACCCCGTGGCAGGAATATAAACTGACCCAGCCCCTGTGGAAAGCAGCATGAAGGCGCTCAAGGGAACACAAGTGAGTCCACCACTTGGTTCAGCAACTCCGCTCCTCCGTAATCCTGAGGAGCACAGCACTGCTCAGACGGACGTGTGCTCTCCTGGTCATCCATGGTCATCCGGCCTGTGTCCAGTAGCCGAGTTTTGGA